AGAAGTAGGCTACCTGGCTCCAGCATTTGATAAGATTATGCTTTCAACTCTACATTTTAACCTCCTAATTTTTGACTTCCTTGTTAAGTAAAAATTTGTCTAAATCAGCCTTAAAAATATTTGATGACCCTGCCTCTAGTGCACTATGGGGAAAAGAATTTCACATATTCCCTATCATCTGAGAGAAAAGATTTTGCATTTCAACTGATGTTAAATATTCAGAAAAGATAGGAAAGGTATAGCAGGAGGATGGATGGCACTTTTAATTAAGGAAAGCGTTGAAGTACTGGAGAAATATGAACGTTCAGAGAGTTTAGGGACGAAATCAATTTGGCTAGAGCTAAGGAATAAGAAGGGTGCATTTACATTGCTCAGTATAATCAAAAGAACACCAACTATAAGAAGGATATGGAGGAATAAACCTGGAAGAAAATTACAGAGATGTGTAAACATCATGCTATAGTTATAACAAGGGAATTAATTCTTCATATATAAATTGGGGGTGGTAGTGTGAGGGACAGAGAGGGACAAGCATTCCCTCATTAGTAATGTGTCCAGTCCAACAAGAAAGGAGGCACTTCTAGAAATGTTTTTTGGGAATGAAGTGGGTCAAGTAGGACAAGTGACAATGGGAGAACATCTAGTGGTCAATGATCATTGTAATTTAAGATTTAGGATGACGGTGAAAAATAACATTGGTCGATTCAGAGTAAGAATAATCAACTAGCAGAGAGCAGATTTTAATGGGGCAAGAACAGAGCTGGGCAAGTAGACTGGAATGAAAAGTTGGCAGGAAAAACAGTTGCTGAGTTAAGGGCTATCTTCAAAGCTGAGATGGTTTGGCACAGTCAAAGTATATTCCCTCAAAAGGGAAAGGTAGGACAAACAAATTCAGAGGTCTCTAGCTGACAAAGGAGGCAGAAATTAAGTTAACGAAGAAAAAGTGTGCTTAAGGATTAGACAATAAATACAATTGAGAACCAAATATGTAACGTTCAGAAGGAAGATGGAAAAACAAATAGAAGGAGCAAAGAGGGATTCCTTAAAAACACTTGTCACTAACATAAATGGGAATCCCAAAGTCGTCAATAAGCAGATCAATGGTAAGAGTGGTAAAAAGAGGAGTAGAACCCCTAGAAAACAGTGACCATACCATGGTAGTTTTAGGGTAAGAAACTTGGGCTGGAAACAACTGTGCTAAAATTGAATAAGGGTCATGACAAAGGGATAAGTTAGCTTCAGTGGACTGGGAAAAGTGTTTAGCAGACAAGACAGTTGAGGAATAATGGCAGACATTTAAGAAAATAGTTCATGACACACAACAAAACATATCCCAGTGAAGAAGAAAGATTCTAAAAAGGGGATTAACAAACCCGGTTAACCAAGGAAGTTAAGAATAACATTAAAATGAAAGAAAAAAGTATAAAATGTGGCAAAGATTAGTGGTAAGCCTGAGTCAGAAAAATTTTTAGAAGCCAACAAAAGATGGCCAAACAGGCAAGTAATATTAAAATTGACAACAAGAGCTTCTATTCTCTTATTCACTTGTGGGATGCAGACATTGCTGGCTGGCAAGCATTTTATTGCCCATCCTTAGTTGCCCTTCAGAAGGTAGTGATTAGCTGCCATCTTGAACTGCTGCAGTCCCCATGCTGTAGGTTGACCCAGAATGCCCTTGGAGATGGTGTTCCAGGATCTTGATTCAGCGACAGTGAAGGAATGGCAATATATTTCTAAGTCAGGATGGCGAGTTTGGAGGGGAATATGCAGGTGGTGATGTTCCTACGTCTCTGCTGCCCTTGTCCTTCCAGATGGAAGTGGATGTGGGTTTGGGAGGTACTATCTAAGAATCTTTGATGAATTTTTGCAGTGCATCTAATAGATAGTACACACTGCTGCTACTAAGTATTGGTGGTGCATGGAGTGGATGTTTGTGGATGCGGTACCAAACAATTGGGCTGCTTTGTCCTGGATGGTGTCTTTGGAGCTTCACCCACCTAGGCAAGTGAGGAGTATTCCATTACATTCCTGACTTGTACCTTGTAGAAAGTGGACAGGCTTTGGGGAGTCAGGAGTGGAGTTATTTGCTGTAGTAATCCTAGCCTCTAAATATATAAAAAGGAAGAGAGAGATCAAAGCGAATATATGCTCCTTAGAGAATGAGGCTGTGGAAATAGCAATGGGGAACCAGGAAATGAATAACTACTTTGCATTGATCTTATCAGTAGAAAACACAAATAATCTAGAGGCAAAATAGTAAAAGAAACAAAATACAATAACTATCACAAGATAAGAAGTACTAAGAAAGCTAATGGGACTAAAGGCCATTAACTCCATGGAACTGAGTGGTTGCATCCCAGAAAATTAAAAGTAGCAACAGACCTAGCAGATGCACTGGGAATCAGTGGATAAGTCACAAAAAGCTAGCATACAAATTCAGCAAATAATAGGAAAGGCAAATAAAACATTGGCCTTTATGTGAAAGGCAATGGAGTACTAAAATAGGGAAGTCTTGCCAAACTATACAAAGCATGAGTTAGACCAGACTTGGCATACTGTGAACAAGTTTGGTCCCTTATCTAAGAAAAGATATACTGTCATTGGAGGCAGTCCAGAGAAGTTTCACGAGGTTGATCTTAGTTATGGAGGGATAATCTTATGAGAAGAGGCTGAGCTGGTTGCGTCTGTACTTGGAGTTTACATGAATAAGTGGCAACCTTATTGAAATGTATAAGATTCTTAGGATAGATGCACCAACGTTGGTCCCTTTGTGGGAAAGTCTAGGACTAGAAGGCACAATGTTAGAGTACAGAGTTACTAATTTAAGACTGAGTTGAGGACAAATTTCTTTTCTTAGAGGACAATGAATATGTGGAATTATTTCATGTGGGCAGCTTTCAAGACTGTGTTATTAAGAATATTCAAGGCGGAGACATATGGATGTGAAAATGAAGATTATCAGATCAGTCATGATCTCATTGAATGGCACAGTGCATTAACATATAGAAGCAAAAGGCATGAGTGAGCTGTTAAATGAATACTTTCCACTTGCCTTTACCTATAACGCAGATGCTACCCAGCCATGGTGACAGAGGAGGAAACTCAATCACTATAAGTGTTTAAAGTTAATAAGGTTAGAGATATTGGATAAGCTGCTAGTACTTAAAGATGATAAAGGTACAGGTGAGATGCATCCCTAACAGTGAAGAAAGAAAGAGTGATATTCGCAGAGGCACTGACAATAATCATTCAATCTTCCCTGGATTTAACAGAGTTATGTGAGGACTGAGGCTAGGGGGTGACCTTACAGAGTTTATAAAATCATGAGGGGCACAGAGGGGGTGAATAACCAAAGCCTTTTTCCCAGGATAGGGGAGTCCAAAACTAGAAGGCGTTGGTTTAAGGACAGAGGAGCAACTTCTTCATGCAGAGGGTGGTGCATGTATGGAATGAGTTGCTGGAGGAGGACGGTACAATTACAACATTTAAAAGGCATCTAAATGGGTACATGAATAGGAAGGGTTTAGAGGGATATGGACAAAATGCTGGTAAATGGGACTAGATCAGCTTATGATGTCTGGTTGGCGCGGAGCAGTTGGACCGAAGGGTCTGTTTCTGTGATGTATAACTCCATGACTGAAGAATGCAAACAGTACACTCTTGTTCAAAAAAGATCAGCTCAGGAAATACAGACTGGTTAGTTTAATCTTGATGGTGAGGAAGCTTCTAGAAAAAAAAAACTCAGGATATAATCAATAATCATAGAAAAATGAAGGTTTGTTTGGAAGAGTCAACATGGATTCTTAAAGGAAAGGCATATCCAATTTGCTGGAGTTTATTGAAGAGGTAACAGAGAAGGTTGATGAGGACAAAGTCACTTTTGTGTTGTACATGTACTTACAAGAGACATTGCCAGATTTTTGAGAAAAGTTACAGATCATGGAATAAAATGGAACAGAAGCAAACATAGATCCAAAATTGCCAAGTGATAGGAAACAAAGAATACTGTTAATGGATATTTTGCAGGCTAGAAAAAAGGTTTTTTAGTAGATTTCCCCAGGGGTCAATATTTTCAAACCGTCATTAAGGTCTGGAATGTTCTACCTGGAACTGTGGTGGAGGTCAGCTCAGTTGAGGTATTCAAAAGGGCCTTGGATAACTTTTAAAATAGAAACAACGTCAGGGAAAAGGCAAGAGACTGGCACTGATAAAATGATCAGAAAGCCATTGCAGACATGGTGGGCTGAACAGCCTTATGCACTATAACAATTTGGCGATTCTGTGAATGGGGTTGCTCCTCCTGGCCAGGCATGGAGGCCTAAACATACCCTATAAAACCTAAACTTTCCCCTAATTATCTCAGGGCACTGGCCATGACAAAAGCTCAGAAGCCAGTCCTTCACATCCACTGTAGCCATGACTGCCACTATAGGCCCCCACAGCCACAGCCAGGGCAACAAAGCAGGAAAGCTGCTAAACTCCGTCTGGAGCAAGGCGCAGGTGTCACTATCTTCTATCACCAGATTAGTAGCTGTCCCACAAGTTCCCACCAGCTACAATTCACCGCAGGCCACATTCCACCATGCGCCACAATCTGAGCCCAGTATGACCGACACCCACTTGGACCGGTAGAGGGGAAGGAGGGCCAATGCGCTGCAGCCCACCAAGGAGCAGCCCAAGTGTGCAGTGGCCTGCAGAAAGCCAGATTTTGGCAGCCAGCAAGTAGGGTGCTGTGGTCTCTCAAAAGGATCATTTAGCCACAACACAGACAGGAACAAGAAATGGTCCAAGCAGGTGGCCAGGGGTCTGACAAGCAAAAGCCCCTTGCCGTAGACAGCAAGCTGCATGCCCAGGGTTCCATCTTGGTGGGTTTACTACAGGAGATGCTGTAAGTAGAAACCTATGTACGCTTTTAAACATTTAAATTTGTTTTATTTTAACATTTGTTTGATTTAGCAATGTAAGAATTTAGTTGTTTAAAGTAATGTATTTCAACTTACAGGAATTTTTTAAAAATTCTCTCTTGGGATCTGAGTATCACTGGCTGACCAGCGTTTACTGCCCATTCCCAGTTGCCCTTCAGAAGGTGGTGAGCTGCCTTCTTGACCATTGCAGTCCATGTGCTGTAGGTAGACTCACATTGCTCTTTAGGATGGCGTTCCAGGATTTTGACCCAGTGACAGTGAAGGAATGGCAGCATATTTCCAAGTCAGGATGGTGAGTGGCTTGGAGGGGAACTTGCAGCTGGTAGTATTCCCATGTATCTGCTGCCCTTGTCCTTCTCGATAAAAGTGGTCACAGGTTTGAAAGGATCTTTGGTAAATTTCTTGTGTACATTTGGTGATAATACACACTGCTGCTGCTGAACGTCAGTGGTGGAAAGAGTGGATGCGGTTCCAATCAATTGGGCTGTTTTAGCCTTGATGATGTCAAGCTTCTTGAGTGTTGCTACAGCTGCACTCATTCAGGCAAGTGGGTAGTATTCCATCACACTCCTGACTTGTGCCTTGTGGATGGTTTTGGAGACTTAAGAAGTCAGTTACTTGTTGCTGTATTCCTAGACTCTGACTGGTCCTATAACTACTGTATTTACGTAGCAAGTCCAGTTAAGTTTCTGGTCAATGGTATGCTCATGGATGTGATAGTGGAGGATTCAGTGATGGTTACATCATTGAATGTGAAGTGGTGGTAATTAGATGGTCTCTTGTTGATGATGGTCATTGACTGGCAATGTTTAAAAAAATTGCTGTCAGCTAAAGAATCCCCTACAGAACTTCACTCCTATGGGAATCAATACTTCTCAAAATCATCATAGTAGTAATTTTCTGGAATATAACCACAGGACTTTCTGTATATGCAATATTCAACTAATCGCTCTTTCAAATTCCCTCAGTGGATGTCTTCCAGGTACCTTTTCTTGTTCTACTGCTCCTACATAATAGTACCACACTTGTCCCAGTATAGCTCCTCGAAGGCTGCTGACTTTCAGTTGAAGTACTGCAGGTGATCACTAAGGATGACTTTAGGCAGGTCTAAGTCTTGATTGTCCAGTTCCAGGCTGCTGACTTTGGCACGAGCAGCAGTCTTCTCAGTTAAGGCAGGCAACAGAAAGGGCACTGGCAGAATGGCAACAGTAGCACTGGGAGACTGAAAGTGGATAACATAACTGTACGCCATGAAACCAATGCCACAATGGGGGTGCAGTGCCTCAGTAATGCTAGCAATCCGTTGGAAAGGCAAATTGGTGGAGTGACGTGAGGTCCTACAAGCCCTTCAGCATTGACATTTACTGCCATAAATGGGAAACAGTTCGAACCTGTGTGGCACCAAACTAGGATTTTATTTCATCTGATATTCCACTCTAGAACCTAGACACAAAGGGGCAAGTATTCTTACCTCATTGCGGGACTGAAATTATCAGGCAGGCTTTTAGATTGCTCATGGGAGCAGATTCCTGGATTTTCGTCCCCTTTTCCATTTCCAGTAATTTTCAGGGATTTGGGCTAAGTGGATATAAGCAATTATATTGCCATGCTCTTGCAAAACCCACCATCCCCACCTGCAGAAACTCTTCGTGTGAGAACTTTCTGTTTATCTATTAGGGATCTGGTAGAGGAGATGTTGTACACGACAGTCGTGTGCAATAGACTGTTACTTGGTGGCTCATGCACTCCTTCTAATTTCTCATACCTGGAGGAATCGGCCTTTCACGTTTATGTGCAGTGTGTGAAATTGCAGCCCTTGCTTCACTTTCCGAGGAAAGTGCTAATTAATATATTCAGTTCCACGCCCTGGATCTTTGGCCACCTGGTGCAAAGCTGAGTAGGTTTGGGCAGCGCCTCGCGGGTAGCTTCGCCTGGGCCTGGCCAAGGTGTCCTAGGTAGCAGACAGCCATCTACCCCAAGCGTCTACTTCTCTTCTGCGGCTACGGAGCAACCGCAGGTGCCTGCCATTCGGGCACCAGAGGATGGGGCGGTGCTGGACTCCATCATTAATCCTGAGAATGTTTAAGTTTTCTTTGAAAGGTTGGCTTTCTGTTACAGCTATGCCATTTGCCAAAGAAACACTCAGTTCCTCTCACAGCCTGGAAGATTACTGAAAAAAAGCCGCACCCCCGCTGTCTCTTATCTCCAGTCTCCACGTTTATTCTGCAGCGAGTACACTCATACACAGCCTGCACCATCCTGTCACTCACTCGGCCCCCTCTCCGGTCGCTAAGGGCTCTTCAGCACTTCCTCCCATTCTTCACTCCGATTGGATGCTGTTTTCCCGCGTGCGCCACAACTGCCATTTTGAACCGAGGAGCTTCAGCGGCTTGAATTCGGCCGCCCGCCTACCTGAGTGATTGTCTCCCGGTCTCACATTGTGTCCAGGTAAGTTCCGCGCCAGTCATCCTGCCCTGTGCTTACCGACCTTCGGAGTTACTTGGGTGGGAGAAGAGAGAGGGAGAGATGCAGAAGAAGAAGGAAAAAACAGCAACCGCGCCGTCTCCTGGGCCGCCGCTGGCGGATCCAACTGGTATGTCCGGACCAGGCTGACAGAAATCCGCAGCTTTGCCTCAGGTTAACCGAGGAGCCCGTCCACACTCTGAATCCCAGGGATACTGAGTGAGGCTCAGGCCGCGATTTATGAACGCCGAGGTGGAGCAATTTCATAAACATGAGGACGGATTGTCTGTAAACTGTGGGCCGGACTCTGTCCCCAGTAAATTGCACCATAATCAGTGCGGATTATGATAACCTAAAAGACCAGTGTGCATCAAGTTAAACCCGATCTCTCTTCGCCAACCCACCACCCTCTCTGCAAGCTCCAGGCTGCAGTTTCCATTATCTTCCTGTCTCTGTTTTGTGTTTCCCGCCATCAGATCGTCTAGAAGAACGAAACAGTTTTGTTTCCATTCTAAAGGGGTTACTCACCACGGGAGCGTGTTACGTAAACAATAAACCTTCAGTTTTGCTTGAAAAATGAAAGATTGGGAAAATAAATTGTTACGAAGCGAAATGACATGACTTATAATCACAGTACTGCGCCAGCTTTTTACCTATTCAAACAGCCTTCTTTGAAATAAAGTCTTGTGGGCTAATTTTTAACAACTTTTCCAGAAAAGTAACATCCAACTAATATGAAATTGATGCGAACACCAAAAGACCTGCGGATGCTGGAAATCGGAAACAAAAACAGAAGTTGCTGGAAAAGCTCAGCAGGTCAGGCAGCATTTGTGCAGAGAAATCGGAGTTAACGTAACTCTGATTTGTCTTCATAGATGCTGCCAGACCACGATGACATCGATGTACCTCACTTTAAAAAAAAATTACTAGGTTTATGTTTAGTGTTGATTAAGGGGTTATGCATTTAAGACCAGTGAGGAGGAATTTCATCTGAGGGTAGTGGATCTGTGGAACTCTGTGCCGCAGAGAGATGTCCAGGCTGGGTCATTCGGTATGTTCAAGGATGAGAGAGACATTTTTTAATCGGTCAGGTGATGGAGGGTTATAGTGAAAACGCAGGAGACTGGAGTCGAGGGTTAGCAGGTCACCCGTGATCTGCCGTGATTGTCTTGCAGAGCAGACTCCGGCTGAATGACCTCCTCCTGCTCCTATGTCATGTGGTCTTATCGTTTGTTTTGGTCTATTTCTGAAATATGTCAGGTGGGTTTCATCAGAGCAGTGAATGAGAACATTTTGATATTACTTTGAAAGCAGTGTTATTATAATCTGGAACATAATTAGAATAGCTACCAGGATCTCAGGGAACAATGCAGAGTTTGAGGGAAGGAGCAGAGAAATGGGACTGATTAAACTGCTCCTTCAAAGAGCAAGCGCCACTGCATGAGGTGACTGGCTCCACATGTCAACTTACTTTGCTGCATTCTGTGTCCTGGAGCATGTCTTTAGAGATTATTTGCAACACTATGGCTAAGTGCTGTAGTTTTGTTTATCTATGTAAGATAAGGAGGAAGGTCCTAAATCAAGCAGAATGAGAATCAAACCCCATGCTAGCCAACTGAGCTAACCACATCTTGTTTCATGATTTTCAAAAGATCTTGAGTCACCCTGTATTTAATTCGCAGTGTTAGTGAGATTCTATACCACAGTATCATCAATGGAAAAACTGACTGCATAATTTCTGTGAACAAACCTCTTTCAGATTATTATCTGGAAATTATTGAGTAAATTGTGCAAAATTTTGTGTTCTATTCAATCCAGTGATGAGTATTAAAGCTTCCATTCAAAACTACTGACTACCTACTGTACCATTGCCCCTCTGCTTCCCTGTTCTACCCCCACTGCAGCTGAAACCTTTATCTGGTCTTTTTGACGTGATTACTGAAAAACCTTACTTGGTGATCTATTACCCTCCCTTAACAATCTCGGCTCATTCAAAACAGAATTGGTATCATGTCCTTCCATGCATGCGAACTGAAACTGGCTTCCTGTTCCTTGATGCATTGAATTTAATATCCTTGGCCACATTTCTAAATTCCTCCCTATTTTCACCTTGCTCAATGTCTGCTGTCTGTGCTTTTCATTCTGGTTGCTTTCCGAACTGGCTCTTTTTGAATGTGCATCTCCCTCTTACCTTTTATGCTGGTAACATCTTCAGCTGTTTTGACCTTGCTCTTTGATATGGTCTTCCAAAGTGACTTCCTCTATTCTTTAACATTTGATAACTGTCTTTGGGTCTATGTTTGTCACCAGTGTTTTTAGTAATTGGTTCTTAGTCATCAACATGTTTGATTGCTAAGTCCATTCACCCATCATTCTGTCATTGATTTGAATTGACTCTTGGAAAAACCTTGACTTAATATTCTCATCCTTATTTTCAAATCCCTCTATTCTTGCTGTCTCCTATCTCTAACTACTACCAACCCTTCAATTCATGTATAACTGCATTCCTTCACTTGGTTTTAATCATTTCCTGTTGTGAATATGCTTTCAGTTGCCTCGGCTCTAAGGGAGCACAACCTCGTTAAACCTCTGTCCTTTTTCTTCTTTTCAAAACCTCCTTAAAACCTATCTCTTTAGTTAAAGTTTTTGATCATCTCTAAGTCTCCCTGTGATGTGTAGTGTTTAATTTTGATAAAGCTCCTGTGAGATACTTTGAAATCTGTCATTATCAAAGGTATTGTATAAATGTAAACCGTTGTGTTTCTGCATAATATTAGTGTATTGCTATCAAGTGTGCTGCAGGAATTTAAGTTAAAATGAGCTTTCACTTCTTACTTACCTTTTGAACCTGAAGTTCAGTTCTCTCTGTATTTCATGTGATTAACTGACTCAATTTCTAACCATTTTTTTAAAAATCCTAACTAAATCTTGTGTTGGCATTCTTAGTAAGAATCGACAAAATGTATTACTTGAAAATTGCAATTCTGTTTTATCATAAATGACCAAGTTAGACCGTAAGATATAGGAGCAGAATTAGGCCCATTTGATCATGGCTGATTATGTTTCTGAATCCGCTCTCCTGTCTTCATCCTCTAACCTTTGATCCCTTTATTAATCAAGAACCTATGTATCTCTCTCTTAAATACACTCAATGACTTGGTCTCCACAGCCATCTGCAGCAATGGGTTCCACAGATCAGCCACTGTCTGGCTGAAGGAATTCCTCCAATCTCAGTTCCAAAGAATTGTCCCTTCACTCTCAGGCTGTGCCCTTGGGTCCTAGTTTCTCCTACTAGAGGAAACATCTTCTCCATGTCTGCTGCATACAGACTCTCGGTATTCTGTAATTTTCAATGAGATCCCCCTCATGCTTCTAAATTCCATTGAGTATGGACCCAAAGTTCTCATATGATAAGTCCTTCACCCCCAGAAACATGCTTGTAAACTTCGTTTGGATGCCCTCTAAGGCTAGCACATCTTCCTTTGATACGGGGCTTAAAACGCTCAATATTCCAAATGTGGTCTGAGCAGAACCTTATACAGTTTCAGCAGTACATCTTGCTCTTGCATTCTAGCCCTCTTGGAATGAATGCTAGCATTGCATTTACCTTCCTAACTACCAACTGAACCAGCATGTTAATTTTAAGAAAATTCTGAACTGGGACTCCCAAGTTGCTTCATACTTCAGATTTCTGAAGCCTTTCCCATTTAGAAAATGGTCTACGCCTCTTCTTCCGGTCGAAGTGCATAACCTCACGCTTTCTAACATTGTATTCCGTCTGCCATTTCTTTGTTCACTCTCCCCTACCTGTCCCAAGTCCTTCTACAGCATCTCTGCTTCCTCAACACTACCTGTCCCTCCAATTATCTTTGTGTGATCTGCAAACTTAGCAACAGTGCCCTCAGTTCCTTTGTCCAGATTGTTAATGTATAGTGTGAATAGTTGTAGTCCCAGTTCTGAGCCCTGCGGAACTCCAGTAGTCACCAGTTGCCATCCTGAAAAAGATCCCTTTATCCCCTTTTTCTGCTTTCTGCCAATCAGCCAATCCTCTACCCATTCCAGTACCTTGCCCCTAATACCAAGAGCTCTTATCTTATTTCGCTGCCTCCTGTGTGACACCTTGTCAAAGACTTTCTGAAAAGTTTCTTGGGATGCATGCTCATTTTTGACTTAATTCAGTTTTTGTCTGTAACTTTTGCTTAATGCCTTACTACATCCCAAATAAAATTCTACCAAATTTCACGAAAGTGTCTTAGTGATGACATTCCTCCTTTTTTTTTGTAAGTTTTCTATTTTGTCAAAGTAACACATTACGTTTCCTAATCCTTCACTATAACTAACCCAGCTTCAGTACCTAAGGAAATGCCTGTAGATTGAGATGGAAAGGAAAAACCTAAACGGTTCTCATGAAAACTTTCGGATTAAGGCAATGCAATTGAAACTTTCAAACAATGTAGTATTGCTTGTTTTCTGATTTTGCTTTTGTGGGTTTTCAATTTACAATTGCTGGGCCAGCAGAGAAACTGAAACTGTTAATTCAAGATGCATAGTTTTGTACAGTAGTTTGAAGGCAATTCAACCCCATACTGTGATAGCATGTTGTACGACAAAGTGACACTATCTGTTGCAACCACAAGTGGTTTGTGTTGTTCTCTATAGGGTGATTTGACATTTTTCTAATGTCATGTGTCCATCTTAAATATGCTTAAATTAATTGTTGAAATACATTGTGTCTGTTCAGATTTCCTGGTGTTTTTCTGTCTGATCAGTAGAAACTGCTTAGCAATCACTGCTTAGCCCATAAAATTCAAAGGGTATCTGTTGCACAGACACTATTTGTTGCATAAAGGTAAAGATTTTTTTAAAAATTCAAACAGCAGTATTATATGAACATGGTGTCATTGCTGGTAATGGGATGTTTACACCAATCAAGAGAACATGTGCCACAGTGTTGACTTTCTTTCTCTGGCAGATTGGCCATTACTGGTCACTTCCTCTGTCACTTGTGCAAGGCTGTTGATTACTGGCTGTCTGTAATTGCCCTTTTGAAGGTGATGCTGAGGTGCCTCCTTGAACTGCTGTAGTCATTGGGATGCAGGATTGCCAGCAATGCTGATAGAAAGGGAATTCTAGGATTTTTGATGCAGAGATTATGGTGGTCAGTGGTTTATAACTTAGCAGGAAACTTCACAAGTAGTATTGTTTCCTTTGTATCTACTTTCCTGGTCCTTTGAGATGCTAGAGGTTGTGGATTTGGAAGATGCTGTCAAAGCTGTCTTGGTGAGTTGCTACAGTGAATTTTATAGATGCTATGTCCTGCTGTGCATTGGTTAGAGGAGTGAATGTTAAAGGTCATGGATGGGGTACCAATTAAGCAGGCTGCTTTGTCTCGGATGGTGTTAAACTTGAATGTGGGAGCTACATCCATCTGGGCAGTTGGAAGAGTATTCTGTCACTGCTGAATTGTGCCTTGTAGACTGTAGCCAGGTATTGGGGAGACAGGATGTGAGTTGCTTGCTGCAGAATTCCCGGCTTCTGATATGTTCCTAAAGCCACAGTATTTACATGGATGGTCCGGTTCACTTTCTGGTCAGTGATAGTCCCCAGTATGGTGATAGTGGGGAATTCAGTCATTGTAATGCCATGAATATCCTGGGCTGATAGATTCTGTCTTGTTTGAGATGGTCATTGCTCAACTTGTATTGTGTGATTATTAGTTGCTATTTATCAGTCCAAGCCTGGATATTGTCCATGTTTTACTCCATGTGGACATTGGTGGCTTTAGTATCTGAATAGACACCAGAGGTACTCAACATTGTGCGGTCATCAGAGAAAATCCTCATTTCTAATTTTATGATGCAAGGAAGATCATTGCAGCAGCTGAATGTGTTTGAACCTAGGACATGACCTTGAGGAACTGTAGCAGTGATGTCCTGTGACTAAGATAATTGTTCTTCAACAACCATAACCATCTTCCTTGTGGATGTCATTCCTAAAGGGGGGGGAGAGAATCTAAACTCTGCGACCTGCCACATCTAGTCGTGAATGGTGATGGACAATTAAAGCATTTCCTAGTGGAGGATGCAGTTCCACAAATATGTCAGCAGTGCCTTGTAAAGCCTCTGAGGTCCTCAGCATCAAGATGGCAGCCTTCAGCCAATTCAGTTCACTCCAACTGTTGTCAAAAAACAGTCAGAGGTTCTGGACACTGCAAACATAATAGTTCTCTCAGCATTCTGGTAATAACCCCAAAATCTAGCCAAGCTGTACCAGTACAGCTATAATACAGGTCATTTTGCTATAATGCATGTTTCATTAACGCGATTGGCGAAAAGTGGACCCTGTTTGGATAATGCGAACTTTCTGCTGTGCAGCTGTAGTGATTGTCTATAGCGATTTTTTTTTTTTTTTTTTTTTTTTTTTTTTTTTTTTTTTTTTTTTTT